CAACAGCTCTCAGGGGAAATCGCTATTGTTCTCCCATTTTCCATGTAAGGAAACTGAGACCCAGAACAGTTCCGTAACTTGGCCACAGTTGCACCAGTGGGACACGGCCAACCCTGGACCGTAGGCTGCATGGCTTCAGAGCCCCTGCGGTCCTTCTCCCTGGCTCTGTTTTGTCAGTAATGGAGCAGCAGCACCGTACCCCTTGTGTGGATTTCCCTGACAGACAAAAATCTCTTAGGAAATGGGGCCCTTCTGTCTGCCCTCAGAGCAGAACCTGCAGGTGAATGGCGTGCAGAGGCTGCAGCTCTGCCCTTTCCTGGCCTGCTCAGGTGCCAGCTTGCCCTTGCCTCTGCCCTCCGCGGTCCCTGGCATCTCAACCTCTGCCCCCACCCCAGGAGCTTGCCATCATCCGGGGACCCATGAAGCCCGTCTTCTCAGGCTGCCTTGATCCAGTTTCACCAGCCCACCTCCTGTCCTAGTGGGGCAAAAGCCCCTCGGAATTTGCATCCTGGCCCACATCAGAGGTTTCCTGAACCCTTTCCCACACAGTTCCGTTTTTAACTTCTCAAAAGTGCCGGGCTCTGCTGCAGAGCCTGTAAAGCTAGCTTTTCCCACCAGGACTTTTGCAGCAAGTTTTTACCGCTCTCTTAACTGTGCCAGGCAGTGTTCTGACAGATAAATGACGAACAAAGACAACTGCACATGGTCTCGCTTGGAGGAGTTTTAACCAAAGATGAAATTTGTGGTTCGAAATCACGCTGGCAAAGCAGCACACTCGTTCCAGAGCATCTGAAAGAAATGAACTAACAACAACTCGTGGCTCTCTGGAGATTTTGCCCTGGTTCCTGGAAGTAAATATTTTGCAATTGAATTTGTAACAATGGTTTCCATTTTCAGATATGGCACAGTAAGTCTTCTGGGTTTAAAAAAAAGTTTTGTGTGTGAACATTCAAATCACCTCTCCCACTTAAGTGACACAGAATTTCTACACTCAAATAAGGAGGCAACCTCTCCCTGACCCCTGGCCCAGGAGCTCTTTAAGATCAATCAGGACAGTTACACGTAGCAAAGGTCTATTTTTCATCTGAACTGGGGCTGGAAAATAGGAGCCCCACTGGAGACAATGGAACTAGGACTAGGACAGATGTTGCCACTCTGACATGGGTGACAGGAGAGGATGAAACACAGCTCTGGGTCCTGCCTGGGGAGACCAGGACCTGCCCCGTCCTGAGGCTCCTGCAGCTCAGCCCTGGCGCATCTCCTCTCCAGCCACCAAGCCCACCTCTACAGCATGCACTGAGTTTTCCACCATGTATTGTTATTCCCCATCTTCCTTGTAGCCTCATAAAAAATCTTCCTTTTGTTGTTCAGAAAAATGACATCACAGGAGGCTGTCTTTACCATAGTTAAGTGGTGTCATAGAATGTGCTACAATCCAGGTGTCTCATGCCCCGTACTGACGTGCAAAGACTGTAAGTTGTCACCGGTGTGTATGACTTTGCTGAAGAACGCGAGGGAGGACATTTTAAGAATCTGAAGAGGTCTTTTTGAAGCTGAAGTCAACCTTGATGCTAGAGCAGGAGCCATTACTCTGCTCACCTTCCTACCACGCCCACCCAAGGGAGCATCTGCCTAGTGTCTGCTTTGTGAGAACTTCGGAATGCTGTGGAAAGCATTTCTGTGACTCACTGCTGTCTCTTCATTTCTTACATCTTTCTTCCTGATACCCCCAGTACTCCCCACAACACACACACACAGTTCAGCTTGGAACCCCCTCCAAGCCCTCCACCAAGTCCAGGTCCTCAGTAAATACTTGGGAAATGCTGGACTTGGTGACATGCTGTAGAAACCCAGAAAGACACTTCCTGTAGTGGTTTTCATGTCCTCTGAGCCTACAGAAGTCTATCCTGCTCAGAACTTCTTATCCAATTCAGTAATTAGGAGACATTTATGAATTTATTCTGAGATCTTTGTATATCCATAAAAATAATGTGATGCTCTTGAGTACTTTTGCATATTAAACCAAAGGACTAATATTGTGGTGGCCGAAGTTCTTGAATTTTCAATTCCCTCATCTATTGAATAAAGTCTTGATATACACAAGAGCATTTGAAAAATGGTTACCACTACCATTACGTATAAAAATGTCAAGTATTACAATATTTACTATCAATTGAGTGAAGCCTCAGTTGAACAAATCATAAAGAATAGTCACATTAGACACACAGGCAGACTAGGTAAAGGGGAACAGTCACAAACAGGATTGATTCCCTTTACCAGAAAGTGTTACCCTGAAATGCAAATTAAAATTGCATATGAAGTACAAACTTTTTGAAAACCATCTTTATAAAATTAAAGTATGTAAGATACTAGTCTCACTGACAGACAGGAGAGATGGGGGCTATTATTTAGTGCATTTCTAGGGTCTTCAAACTAGGGCTGCACCGCTCAACTTCCAGATTTCATACAAGGGAACATGAAAACAGAGAAGAAAAGGTAGCTGTGAACGTGCGCATTGTAACACTGTTTAAAACATTCAAATTTTAGGGGACTTAGGAATATGGCATCAGGAACCCGACCTGTTATGGTCACACCCTGACTTTGTTACTTCTCCTGAGATCAGAGGCAGAAAAAAAATTTTTTTTTGGTACCAAGGATCGAACTCAGGACCTTGTGCTTGTCAAGCAGGCACTCGGGCCTCTGAGCTGGGTAGAATAATTTTAATTTCATTACCCAGTGATCTTCCCAAAATTCCACCCCTTACAACCACTTTATTGCAGTGCTTAATATATGAATTTCAGAATATGGTACATTCAGACCCTAGCACTAGAGACGAATAAAAATATAGATAACTATTTAAATTGGAAACATATCAAAGGGGAAAACTGGGCTATAAAACAGTATTTACTATCTGCTTGAATATAAGTAGGTAATTATTAGATGTGATCTAAGTTTGTCTGGACTCAGATCCATTTTTTGTCTCTTAGAAGATAATTGTATTTCAAATGAGCAAAAATAAGTGAGAGTTAAGTTTCTTGATGTCCTGTGGTTGAGCACTTTTCCTGTGGCACTATACTTCAGTGGTGCCACTGAAGCGACTCCTGCACTACAACAGAGGCATTTTCATATGAGGTGGCAAGCCCTCCGTGCCGTACCACACGTCCCAAGAGCCACCTAATCTATTCATGCCACCACAGTAATTACATGCATCACCCGCCAAAGGTAAGAAATTCGACAGCCACCAGCTTCCAAATGCCCGCCCTGTTTTTGAAGTATGCACTATGGTTCCATCTAACACTGTTTACTATGGGACACGCAAAGCAGATGTCCCTACAATTTACAGTAAGCACTAGGGAGGTCTAAGAATGGCATCAGTGACATGTGAAATTACTGTCATTAATGCTACTTTGTCCTGCTAAGAAGAATCACACAAGGACACTGAGTTCAGTTTCACTGTTTCAATGGGAATCTCGCAAAACTGTAATTGCTCCTCTCCTGAACCACGAATTTGAACTATGTAAGAACTATTTGTTAGGGAGGTCTTTTTAGTCCAAAAACAAGTTTTTGATTTTTGGGTGTTTTTTTGGCTCTAATCCCCGCAAAAGCCATTTGATCGCCTTCCCTTTCAAGCAAGTATGGGCACCTCACATGTTGCCAAGTATGGTGCTTGCATGAAATTTAACTAATACAGAAATACTGTTCTTCCATCCTTCCCTATTTTTAACTTTTAAAATTAGAATCTCAGACTTACACCAACAGAAGTGCGAGCCTGGCCACGGGCTTGGATCACATACCACATGTTCAGGGCTTCCCTATCTCTTGTCAGTAGCAGTTTTATACTCAGGACGTATAAAGCCCATCACTTTTCACAGCTTGGAGCTCTGTTGTGGAAATCATCCTTCAACGTCAGGACCCATCTCTGGAACCCCAGGCAGGGAGGTGTGGTCTGCAAAGACTACCAATTCAGAATGTGGTGAGCACAAGTAAAAGAACAGTCACAATCAGACACCTCCCAGGCTAAGGGAGGCCAATTACATCCAGCTGGGAGAACCTCTGAGTGCTGAGTGCTGAGTCTGGCAAGGACGCAGACGCTTTCCCAGACATCTGGGGAAGGTAAAGCTGATTCCCACACTTCATGCCTGGGACAGGTAGGCAGAAACCCAGGAGGACCAGCACACGTCTCACACAGCAGCACAGAGAGTGACTTTTGGCTACGGTGTTTGTTTCTGGTCCAGACGATTCTAACTAGAGTAGCAGGTTTAAAAAAAGAAAGAAAGAAGCCTTCTCTCTTTTCTCCTTTATTGCTTCTGGGTTGAGGCAGTTAGTTACTTATGTCCATGTGATTGCTTTCTGGTTGCATTTATGGTTAGTAGGATGGAATTACAAATACTTCACTATTACTTCCAGCTCTCAGCCAGATGTGAATCTGCTAAGTTAAACAAAGACTAAGAGTCTCAAAAAATTTTCATCTAATTACCTTCCCCCCACCATATATGAAATAATTTTTTAATTCAAAAATTAAGTGAGGATGGTATCAATCATGCGTAGTTCGTAGAGAAGTGTCCACCACCATATAGGGTAATGTCTTGAAATTTAGATTTTATCTCTTCAGAATCACAATCCATAAAGAGAATTATTCACTTGAAATGTCACTTATAAACTCCACACACTTCTAGTTTTACTTCTGCATCCATGAAGAAAGAGGTCCTATCTGTATGACTCATATTTCATTTTTAGGTCAGGATACCCAAAGGTCACTTTGAAAAATGTTTTGCCTCTTTTCACATTAATTTTATTAGCCAGTTTCAAAGAGATCACCTACCAAATGAGATGTTTCTCATGTTCTGTTAAGTGCAATAATCTACAAATATGTTTCCTATTAAAACCTACTTACAATGGTACTCAAAAGAAAATAACTTTTTTAACAGTAAGAGTGGTTCGATTTTAAAGAGATTAAAGGCAATTGGCTGCCGAAAACATACGGAGGACACACTGTTTGGAACTTTCACAAGAATGGAAAATGTTTAATAAACTTAGAAGCGTGGGCTTATTAAATGATAGTGTTGTTTACAGCTGTGATTCATCAACCACAAACACGACACCGTGTTTGCATGGCATGCCGCAACAAAAGCTTTATTCAGTTCATTCAGAAAACATGGGCAAAATCAATTTCAGTTGTAAGTTCACAGATACAAGCATCAAAGTATAAAGTTGCATATAACAAAAAATACAGGTAATATTTATAACAATAACTTACAGATACAAACTAATGATAAACTACAATTTCACAAAAGATTGTAAACATTTTGCACACTTGTCAGTCCTTTCTTTTAGGCAAAGTGCTCTTTTGATGACAAATAAATTAACAGATACACACTAGAGTGAACTATTTCCAGACAATACAAAAAAAAAAATGTTTTGATTTGTTTTCTTCTTGTAAACATAAGTTTTACCAAAATAAAACAAAAAACAAAAACTGAAGAGTCAATAAAAGTGTCTTGCAGGCCACCTATAGATACATATCTGGGCAGCAAAGTGATGTTGGAAATCCTTTGGGTGTTAAATAAAAAATTAACATTACTATCTTTTCAATGATATTTTATACATAATGAACGACAAGTTTATAACCTTAATCATTTCTCTCCCTGAAAAAAGGAATTAGGTATGACTTATCGGCAGTTGTGTCACAGAATGGGGTAACAAGGGCTGGAGTCCAAGAGTTGTTGGTGAATGAGCTACAAAACAGAAAAGAAATTTGTGGATCAGCTCTCAGGGCAAATACGTGGGATTTAAAAGCAAATAAATAATTCAAGGCAGTGTATTTTCATCACCCATTACAGCCGAAGGCTCCAAGCTCCACGTGGTCCAGCCACCCAGAAGTATTAAACAAGAATCTAGCAGTATTTTTATCCCCCACATCTTTTCTGGGGTCGCAGGCTTTTGCAACTGTAATGTGCTCCCCCACAGCCCCATACCCCATTCTCCAGCACTTTATCCTGCTGCTAGAAAAACACATGCGCTCTGGCTTCCACACGCAGATATCTGAAAAGTGCCACCTCAGTGTCCCTTTACTGATGTTTATCGACCTCCTTCTGAAACACACAGCAATCCCTTGTACCAGGGGACACTAGTCTTTCACGTAAGTGTGCATCCTTACGACGCTAGTGTAAGTAAGTGGAAACGATGATACGAGCTCTGTGTTCACCTATCCAAAACTTAAAATGACATTCTGAGTTCAGCTATGTGGCTCCGACCCAAACCTCCCCCTAAGAGCAACTAGAAAAGCTGGATGATGCTGTTTAAAATCTATCTGAAAGGCATCTAAAAGATGCACAAGTAGAGAAAGGTTGTGAAGTCAAGTCCCTGTGAGGAGAAAAAGACGATGAGGCTGCTCTTCTCCCACTAGGCTAGGGAGGATTTCAAAATAAAAAAAAAACATTTAGTGGGCTGAGAAATTTAGCAGAGCATTCAGAAGTCAGACTTTGGCTAGGTGGTAGGGACAAAAGACGAAGGTCCCCAAAAGAGCAAAAGCCCTAGTTAGAAACAAAAATGAAACTAGGCTTTTGTTTGTGATCCAATCTTAGGACTAGAGAAAATAAGACAGAGCAGCCCAGCGACAGGACCGAGCTGGCAGCCCATCCCCACCTGTATGTCTGAAGTAAAAGTGCTTTGATTCCTTACGACAGAAGACACTGAAAATTATCTTTTGTTTTTCATACCCAATATCTGAAATGCAATAAAAGAGAGCAAGGCAAGTAAGACAAGACTTCTCTGGACAAAGGAGAACCAATCAACACCGGAGACTCACAGAAGATCCGGATACTGGACTTACTGGATGTGGACTCTTGCTGCAAATAATACAATAATAATTGAAGGGTAAAGCCACAAAATAGACATCAGCAGCATAACTGCTATCAAGCCCTCAATGGATGAGCTTTATGCGTTGCTTAGCAATGGGCAGAATTCACGCACTAGAAGTTAGAGGGGAAGAGAAAAGACCAAAGCACAGAAGGCCAAATGGTTGAAAACTGAAACTGTCTCACAGGGAAGAAACAATTTGTAAAGAGAAAAATGTTGAGAATTTGTTATAATAGTATATATTCCCGAAGACCACCCAGGAACAACAACAACAACAACAACAACAACAACAACATCATCATCATCATCATCATCATCATCATCATCATCATCATCATCAACTTTCGGAAACAGAAGCTGAAGGAACACAGAAGGATATTTACTTTCAAAGGGACAAGACAACAGCTGATTTCAACAGTAAGTGATGTCAGATCAGTTACTGATACGTGAAAGAGGCCCAAGGGAAATCAGAAAACAAGGCACCCTTATCTTCAAAATGCTGGAAGAAAATAACTGCCAACCCAGCGTTCTGTACAGAACAAATACTACCTACAACTGCATCAAAGTAACACTCAGGAGTACACAGCAAAAGATACGTAAGATTATTTAAAAATTCTCAAGTGCAAAAATAAAGATGAAGCAAATAATTGCGAAACAAAGTTTGTGGTAGAGAAAACATTATTAAGATGGTAGGATTACTTTATCAAAATTTTGTTTTTAATTTTTGGTTGTGGAAAATGAGTTAATATTTTTTGTGGTACTGGGGATTGAACTCAGGACCCTGACCTTGCCAGGCAACCGCTTATTCTATTGAGCTATCTCCCCGGCCCTGAGTTAATATTTTTATGAAAACAAAATCAAGAACAAGCTACATAACTTTCAGTAACAAAGCAGAAAAACTTGTACTACTTTACATCAAGAATTATAAAATTATGGGGAAAAAAAAAGTATTATAGCGTTGGTATAGCTGACATGGCCAGACAATACAAAAAAATAGACCAATAAAACCAAATAGACAGCGCGTGAGCTCCTGGCCGCGGAGCTGGTGGGTCAGGGGGAATCGCACAGCCGTGAAAGTGTCCGCGACCCCTCCTTATCACATGGTGACTGTACAAGAACATCTTCTGGCAGTTATGAGAGAAATGGAATAGGTATTCATACCACTCCTAATGGGATTGTCTACACAGGAAACTGGAAAGACGACAAGATGAATGGTTTTGGAAAACTTGAGCATTTTTCAGGAGCAGTGTACGAAGGACAATTTAAGGACAATATGTTTCATGGATTGGGAGCTTACACTTTCCCAACTGGGGCAAAATACGCTGGAAATTTCGATGAAAATAGGGTGAAGGGGAAGGGGAGTATACTGACACCCAAGGACTGCCGGGGAGCGGTAACTTTCACTTCACAGCTCCTCCAGGCCTCAGACTGAAGCTCTACATGTAGATGCTCTAAATTAAAGTTTAAGTGGGGTAATTGAAGTTGTAAGTTGTAAGTAGAGCAACCAACTCTGTCATCTACAATAACTTCACACACTGCCTCTAGAAGTTTTCCAATAAAACCATTGCTCATGTAAAAAAAAAAAAAAAAAAAAAACAAATAGAGTACTCAGAAATTGCTATGTAAAATTTATGGATACTTGACTTATGACAAATGTGGCTCTAGAGAGGGAGCCAGGAAATTTGTATTTTTGACAGTACAAGAGAAAGGGTTTATTTCCTATCTCATGCCACACTCAGATTTATTTTCAGATGGATTGTAAATACAAATGTCAAAAGTAAAGCAAAGTTTCTACAAGCTAGGATAGGAAGAGCAGCTGTTCTTTGAGTCAGAACAATTTCTTAAATGGGTCACCAATAAAACTGTCCATGAAAGGAAAAAGAAAATACGGAGGAAATGAGCTATATTACAATTAGGAATCTGGGCTAAATAAAACATTCCCCAGTAGAAGCAAGCAGGCCCCTGAAAAGATGGGTTATTTTCAACACACAATTATCAAAAAGCTTCCTATGCTGATTGTATGAAGAAATGAAATCAATTTTTTGGAAAGAAAAACCAAGAGACATGTACAGGTTCTTTACAAGAAGATATACTAACAGTACAAAGAAATTGTGACACAACGTTAGCAAATCGTGTATTTCGTACAGGGTCTCACTATGCAGTCTGGACTCATAGCGATCCCCGTCTCAGCTTCCCCAGTGCTGCGATTACACGCATGTGCCACCAGCTGGGTCTCACTGGCTGGCTCAGCGCGCCTGGGCTCGGAGCTGGTGCAGCACGTGGTGCTGAGGATCAACCCGCAGGCCCTGTGCTTGCCTAAGCAGGCGCTGAGTCCACGGAGCTATTTCACCGGCCCAGCAAATCGTTTCACACGAGGAAGCTGTAGAGCACACCGTGGTGACCAAGATGCATGGTACCTTGAACTACCACACGCTCTAGCTCAAGCGCCGGCTGGTTCCACAACTACAAAAAACCTTCGGCAGAGCTCCTGCAAGGGCAGCGCACGGAAGCCTGCACTCTGTCAGTGGCCCCCTCAGACGCACACCGAAGAGAAGCCTGAACTGACACGGGCCGAAAGGCATTGCGGGCAAGTCCACAGCAGGCGGCTCCTCAATACCCAAGCTGGGAGAGGCCCGGATGTGTGCCGCCCATGAATGAACCGCAGGAAGATTCCCACAGTGGAATCCTACACAAGGGCAAAACAAATCACCGACTCTTGCAACAATACCAACGACTTTCACAAAGTAATTGAATGAGTAAGATACACTTGAATACTTTCTGGCTATAGAAAGCTAAAAGAAAAAGGCAGAACAAAGGTCTGGCTTTCGAAATGAGGACTACACTGCTCTGCAAAATAAAACAAATAACAGCAACAAAAAAGAACAATGACTTGGAGGATCCTGGACAGAAGCTTCTGGGTGCTCGTGAAATTCTACACCATCTGCCCACTGCACTGATTCGCCAAGCTGTGGGAAGTCACGTGTATCCTTTCCTAGGTGCATTATTTGCTTCAATAAAAATATCTGTAACAAAATGTAGTAAGTCCCAATCTAAGGATCTGAATGTGAACACTGCCTCTGACCACAGGAAAATTATTAAAATACTTACCAAGTGAGAATGAAACAGTTTCTTAGTAAAAAGTCAAGCCATGAGAGTGCTCATTGCTAGTCCTTGTATTTTTAGCCATAAAGTAAGGGCTACACTCGTCCCTTCAAATGAGACCACACGACCAAGAAGGCTGGGATAAGCTTCTGGCTAATGTACAGTCTACAATGCTACTCGTGAGGTAGTATTTCAAAAGGTAAATCCTGCGGATGACCTCAGGCGCGAAGGTGCCAGTCAGGGGGTGCTGGCGACCTGCCCGCAGGGGCCGGGACACCTACCATCCATGTAGCTGTGCAGCGCGGTGAGCATCCCGTCCTGCGGCACGTACGCTGAGTAGGCCATTTCTTCCAGCATGGGTGGGGACAGCCTGGAGGGCGGGACAGCAGTGACGGGGGCAGAGGAGGAGTGGTTGGGACTGACATGCTTCTTGTGGCGGGCTCTACAGTTCTGAAACCACACCTGCAGGGAGAGACCAGGTCACTCACCCGCCTGGGGGTGCAGCGCCCGGGAAAGCGGCTTCCATGGCTACCACAGGGGCACAGAATCAACTTTCACTTCAAGTTCTCTAGACAGAATAGAGACATTTTAGCCCAGATCACAATGATCATTCTTCCACCTCAGAGATTAATTCTTTCATTACCAGAGGGAATGACTCTTTGGTAATTCACTGGAAAGGTGGCTCTTAGTAAACTAGTGGGGGGGGTGTAGAGAAGGAAGAGGAAGTGGAGGGGGAAGATGAATGACATGAAGGAGAGGTGGGGTAAGAAAGGACAGTAGAGGTGAAGAAGGTGGTGGTCAAAGAGAAGAAAGTGCAGGGAGCGAGAGGAAAAGAATCCTGGAAGAGGAGGCAAAGAAGGGAGGGGAGGGGAGGGGATGGGAGAGGAGGGGGGAAGGGGAGGCGGGAAGGGAGGAGGTTGGAAGGAGGGAAGGGAGAAGGGAGAGAGGAGGAGGGAGGAGGAGGAGCCCGCCAATTCCAGAGAAGTACCCTTGGTTTTACTACTGGCATTTAGAAAAAAAGCAAAGCAAAAAAAAAAGCTTTTTAAATCAGGACTTGAAACACACACACACCCTAAATGTATTCTTAGACACCCGCTGAACATACTCAAATGCTTGTTCAAATGATTAAAATCCCCACTGAGAACTTACAGCTTGCTACAAGCCCCTTGATTCAGTTATTCCATTCACATTTTAACCTGCTGTGTTCAATTTCTCTTAGTGAGCCTTCCCTAAGAAGCATGCTAATGTCAGAGCTATAGTGAGAAAAACTAGCACTGTTTAAGCGAAGTCGAACACAAACACAGCCGACTGGTGAAAGAGTCCAGGAAGTGTAAAGGTGCTGACCACCCCATGGTCCCTCGGGTGCAGAAATGACACAGATTCAGGACTGGCGAGTTGTGCATCCAGCTCGGGGTACATGAGGCTCAGCTACCCCAACACTTCCTCGGAACTCATCTGCTTGTGTCTGGATTCCCTGCGTGGAGACAAGACTTTGCCACAGAGCATTACTGGATAGAAACTCTGTCACAACCTCTGTCACTACAAGCAATTCCGTGGTGAGAAGGAAGATGAGGGAAGGCGTAAAAAACTTAAGGGTATTAGAAATGTTCTAGGATCACAGGAGGAGGCCAGGGAAGGGTCAAGACATCATTTCTGTTCAGGTCTGTGGAGCAGGAGTGGCTCGAGAAAATTAGGGTCAGCGAGTATGGACAGAAGGAAACTTCAAGAATTGATAACAAAAACTTGGCCTGATTTGAAAGACAGGCCCTGATCTAGGATTCCAAAATAGAGGGCTGGCAGGGTATGAATTAAAGGGATTGAAACTCAAGAAATAAAATTCAGTAATTCAATGGCTCACATGGCCCACCCAAGTGGTGGAGAGGGCACTCTAAGGAACGCTTCCGGAGCAAGACTTAGGCACCCATCAAAGAAAAAGGAGAAGTCATCAAATCCTTCTTATGCTCGGGCAGTGCTAGATTCTGAGACACCAGGACAGAGACCAGCCCACACCACAGTCTCTACTCAGCGCTCCACCACCAGGCCGTTACCACAGCTGCCACAAGCTGAGCCTACAAGCTGAGAAACCATCCTCAGGTATTCCTTAGCTGGCAAGAGGCCAGAATGGCACCTGCTTCCCTAGAAATCAAACGTCCCGAGGACTGCACAGAACCCAAGCCACTTTCACTACGATGGTCCCAGACTTTTTACAAAATAGCTTTGTCTCCACATGGGACAGAACCTACTTGTTCGTAAAAACAACAACAAAAAAAAAAGTCTGACTTTTGCCATTTCATCAAAGCAAGAAAATCTCAGACTTTGAAAATAAATGTAAATAATGCATAACAGAATAACCAACCAACACAGCAAGCCAAACACCTTCTCGAGAAGATCACCTCTAGGTCATCTAGTAGAGAGGCTTGTGAGCACAAAGCGTCCCGTAACTTGAGAAGCAAAGCACAGCTGAAGATTCCAGACACAGACGCAACGTGACTAGAAAGCTACACCTTCAGAATTCACACAAAATTCACTGTACAGGTTTTTCCTTCTACTCTGTAAAACTCTACCAAGAGTTAAATTTTTCTGAGTACCATTTTAAATTGTTTTATTTAAAAAAACTGTAAGTTCTAAATCACAAATTCCATAAGCTGAAAGCAAAACCCTGCGGATACACTACTAAAATTTTTTAAAGTCTCTCCTGGGCATCGAGACACACAGCAGCTAGTTATGAGGCCGAGTCAGGAGGACTGCAGAGGTGACTTAGGGGGACTCTGTCTCAGAGCGCTGTGGATGCAGTGCAGTGCCCCGAGTTTGCTGCCACTAACACACATGTGCAAATGCACACATCCCCCTAGTGCATAAACTGATTCCTTTAGGAAGTCCAGGCAGAAAGCCAAATGGGAGAATTCAGCATATGAAAACAACAGCAACATTTATATTATTGGGAAAGCGTGGCTTGCTGATGTAGAGAAACCTGGTTAATCATTTCAGAGAAAAAACAGATAAACCTCTACCTCACATGGAACCAATCCAAATAAATTAAAGCTTAGGTGTAAATAATTGAAACCATGAATGTTTAAGGAAACCAAAGCCAATATTGATGCACTTTTTAGATAGAAAAGCATAACAAAGGCCAAACCTATCAAAAGATAAAGAGATTGGAATCTATAAAACATAAAAAAGTTCTATATGGAAAAATAAATGAAAAGGAACTTGATGCACCATGACAGTTTAATATGACAGAATAAAAGTCAATTAGATGGAGCGTAAAGAAATAACTACCAGAAAAGTGGAATAAAACCATACGAGTTTTAAAATTACAAAACAAGCAAACATGTTCAAGTTCATTGATAATAAGTAGAAATAAAAACAAGGAGATTTCTGACTACTAAGTTGGCGAGGCTCTAAAAGTGAACCACATTGAGGGTTCTCATGAGTTAAGGAAGAGAAAATGCTTGGATGTGGCTCCTGGCAGATTCAGAATAAACTGGTATAAATTTTGGGAAGGGAATTTCTGTATACAGGCCCTCGTCATTCTACCTTCTGATATGACACCTTCACCCAGAAACTGATCATAAGGAAGCTGTTGGCCAAGCATGCAAGATAGACATGGGACGTTGCTCATGGCAGCATCTTTTATGGCAAAAAATTGCAAACTAAACAACTTATGCTATGCTCAGCATATGCAGCAACACAAATAATGCACATGTCGAAGGGACTTCTATTGCACATTGAAGGAAACAGATCGACAACTCATAATTCAGTTATCAGAAAGGACACATGAATAACAACAGGGTCTAGCAGCAGAACGTTGATGAGAAGTAAAACCCATCTATCCTGATCCTTTGGCTTCAGCCCAGTGACAATCTTCTCCATTATGAATGTCTAAGAAGGCTGACAGGTGGGTAAGCCAAGAGTCTCCCGTGTCAGCCCGTTATTTCTCCTATTGTCCTTGGGCAGCCTGATTCACATATAACAATAGAGAGTAAGCTACCAAAAGTCTTCTATAACCTTTCCAAAGTTTTGTGCCCAACACTAGAAAGGGTTTTGGGGAAAGAGATTATGATTTACATTTTGCGGTCACAGAAATTTAATTCTCCAAAAATACTGTGAAGGTCTATGTATTTAAATTACACACAAATACACAGTTTGTGCTAACACACCTTGCCATCTTAGCAAAACATCTACCATGCAATCTTCACATATTAAAAGACAAAATCCAAAAATATATTCTCCAAGTCTTAGCACTTGAGGTCACACTCATTTGCACATAATACTGGTGACTTAAATACTTGGACAGAACATGAAATATTTGTTCTGTGGTCCTTCTTCAAATATCGAGAGGATCCAGTCCTTGCTTCCAACTGAAATAGTCTGAAATGTAACAGTCATGAATCTACCTTTCTTGCGGACACCCTTGCTGTGGACGCATAAAGTCTTAAGCTGGAAGGAGCTCCCAGGCCACTGAAGCTGAAGTACCCACACTAAGGAGACTTCACCTCCAGGAACAGGAACCTCACTGCTCCCCTCAGGAGCTACGCCACCTTTGAGGCCTTCCACGCTAAGAAAGCTCCTCTTGAGTGGACACCAGTGCTTCGCCACACATTCTCTGCAGGCAGCAGGTCATACCTGCCCAAGGACCCCTACAACCTATTCTTCCCTCCTGATTTCCTGACTTTATCTGTAGATAAACTTCCCTAGCAGATTCGGAATAAATTGGTATAAATTTTGGGAAGGGAATTTTTGCATACAGGCCCTCCACATTCTACCTTCTGATACGACACCTTCACCCAGAAACTGATAAGGAAGCTGTTGGCCAAGCATGCAAGAGAGACATGTGACGTTGCTCATGGCAGCATTTTTTAATGGTGAAAATTGGAAACTAAACGATTCGTGTTTTAAAATGCCTTTAATATTAGGACACAACTTCTGAAACCTGGGCAGCCTCAGTTGCCTTTTCTCAAAGGCAGCATTCTTTTCAGTTTGGTCTCCTGTTGCTCCAAACGTTAGTATCCTAAAATAAACACCATACTCAGAGCGTCTGGAAATGGCTGAGCTGTGGGACCCCACGCTACAGTCAACAAGCCACTGGGAACCGTAGTCGGCGGAGGAGCCACAGTGTTTTATCTTTCCCATCTGTTTCTGTGCATTTTTTTCAGTCCTATAACACTTTTGGCTTCCTAAAGTGTATCAATCACTCAACTAAAGAAACAAGATGGGTGAACAATGAAGGAATGTATCCATCCACTCCCTAACAGATTTCATTGTGTCTTACTGGTGGTTCCTTAAGCCTCGAGTAATTAAAATTACTCCTTCTCTCCCTCACCTCTCTACAGCATTCAGCAGGGATGACTTCCTGTTAGAAGCCTTCGGCTCTTTCAGGAGCTCTGCGGCTTCTCTGCCGACTCCTTGCTCCAGGGGTTGCGCTGCCCCTTTCACTCTCCCCTCTCTAGCGGCCTCTGCACTTCTTAAATTCTATGACCTCTTTCTCAAGGATCTCAATTTTTCTTTCCTTGGGGCCTGTCCTTCCTTTCAAATTCTACATATACCATCTTCACCATCACTGCATGATTAACTCAACTGAAAGGGACTCCATCTCCCCCACAAGAGAAAACCAAGTGTCCTTTTGACTCGAATATATTCATGGATACCTCAGCTCGTCTCTGCACTCCCATTTCCATCTCCAAGTCACTTTCTCTCTCTTCATTCATTCTTTGCTACCAGCGTGCAGCTGGTAAAACATGACTTGAATGAACTCTAGTCTCACTACTTCAGTCTCTTTCCAAAAACTCCCTACTTTGCTGGGTGTCCCAGTGACACTACCTACCTCTGTTTGGCCCTGGTTCAACTTTGAGTCCTCTCATCCTGAATCACTTGCTTTCTTCCAAAATCACACATCATAGCATCCATTGAGAACTACATTCGCAGGGCTCTACAACTTCATCTTGCACAAATTCCAAATGTAAAGTCTGCGTCTGGTAAGTTTGTTCTAACTCACACCTCCCTGGCTCTGTTCACTTTTTTCCTCAGCTCTTTGCAGAGGCCATCAACACCCTCTCCTGACTCCTCACAGAAGTAGTGGAAAAGAACACAGGCCTCACCTCTCCTCCCAACCTGGTGACCTGATGAAGCTTAGCCTGTCTTTCTTAGCCTGAGGATGCTAGCACTGCTTTTGAGACAGGAATGAAGACATTCAAAAGGTTGTTTGACAAACCACAGCCTAGCCCAGTTAGGTAAATTATTAGGGTTTAAAACACTGATTTAGAGTGTCAGATGATCTGGAACAGGAAGCTAGGATGGGCCCGTACAATAATCACCTGGATCACACGTCTGCTCAAGCCTGTCCGTTCCGCCAGTTTCTGGAGCGTCTGCGCATCTGGGTTGTTGTCCTGAGCAAATTGTGCTTGCATAACCTGGGATTTAAAAAAAATAGATGGAGACTGAAAATGACTAAAAGGACACTGCTCAACTGTCCACATTTTGAAGGTGAAAGAAACAAGATGTGCAGAAGCAAACGTGACACCATAAGGCTGCAGTTCACGGTCACCTCTGTTCATGAATGACTGTGCTTGTAAACAGAAGCACGAGGCAAAACGCTGCATCTGCCAACTCCGTCTCAGGGGGACAAACGCGGCCGTGGCCATCTACCCTAGAACTGTGCAATGAATTAAGTTCATGAACAGAGGTACTGCGACACTTGCATTTTATTACTTGAAAACCAATGTAGAAAATTGTATAGAAGTAAAAATAACTGGGCAAATTTTGTGTATTTACACCCACGGGCTGTTCTGATGAGATCTCTGAAACTCATCCACTTCAGTATGAATTCAGTTCTCAACAGTGCAAACAGAAAAGCGAAAAGCTCACCTTTTCTGTCCGCCTTCTTAGAACTCACAAATGAAACATGTACTATGAACCTCGCTGACCATTTCCATTTTGTCAAACTTCTCAGCATTAGAAAACATAATAAAATGTGAAAAATGTATTTCCTCCAGCCTCGACTAGACTAAGAAGGCGGAAGGCCTGCAGAATAATTACTGCCGGTCTGCAGAGTCTGTGGCTTTGTCCTGGTCTTTCTTCCCTGGAAGCGTCCGATGTGCTAACAGCTAGCTACCAGTGTTGACACCATCATTTCAGGTGGACACTCTATCAAAAATTATCGGAGATCTTACAAAGTGGCTCTGCCAGTCTGCTAAGAATTCACTGGGGCCTAAAGGTGGACAGACCGAGGTGGATCCGAACCACCATGCCAAGTGCTAGGAGACAGTGAGGGTGAAACCCTTGACTGGTCTTTCTTCCCTGGAAGCATCCAATGTGCTAACAGCTAGCTACCAGAAAAGGTAAAGGGAGAAGTGGCAAAGAGGGAAGGGAGTGTGAGACTCACGAGCCAAGGGCTCAGCACTCTTCAGAACAGGAAACCATTAGGGCAATCAAGTGAGAGGCTTGGATTTTATCACTAAAAAAATCAATCAAGTTTGAGGGGTGTAAGAAAATAAAAATGAGGGGCAAGTCGGGTGTCCCACATAATGGCACTTAGCCACAGCCATGGGTTGTGGGTACCCAACCTATCTGAAGACCCTACGCAGCTCTGGCCTCTCCACCCACCCCAAAGAAAATGCTAACTGCATTCCCTGCTCTGCTGTCTATATGGTAATGTCTTCTGCCACCACAGGGCACAGGGACTGAGCGGCGTGGGGGTGTCCACGCACCGGAGCAGACCATGTTCCCTGGCACAGGGAAGCCTTCATCTTCGCCTCCCTGGGAACTAAACTCCCTTCCTGTCACACTGTGTGCAGAGTTTGTAATAGAAAGCAACTTGACAGTGTGAGGGAAATCCAAGAGTGTTGACACAAAGTCCCATGTTCCAGGAAGTGAGGTTTACAAAGTATACTTTCAGTCAAGATCTTTGATGAGCAACTCTTCTGCAATTAAATCTCCCTGACTTCCCCGCCTGCTACACTGTGTTTTTACACCAGTCATTAATAACAAAACATAGATTTTTGGTTTAAGAAATGAGAAAAATTGCCCGAACTTCTATAATCTTCATATTTCCTTTTGTACTATTATCTTCCTATGCAAATAGAACTGTGTTTATATATAACTAAACACATAATGTCCCAAAGAGAAAAAGGAATGAGACATACAGTTACATCTTTGACTTTTAATTTTTCAAAAAAGCTGAACAGATAGATACTTGGAGATTTGCTTCAGAGGTTATTACCAACAATCTGTGTTGTTTTTTAAAACATGCTTTTCACAAATGAATTTTAGACTGACAAGTTTAATAATGGAACCAAATTACATTTAATGAAGGAATTTCTCAACAAGGAAGAAAACCAAGTTTAGATCAATATGGAGTAAATTGGAATATTCTTTTGAAATAGTAGTACTCAATCTTTCTTTTTCCTAGTATCAGTAGTCTCAGAAAAGAAGATCCTTTTATAAATTCTTCTTAGTTTTCACTGTTACCTGAACACTACTGCCCCTTTCCCAAACTCTTCCAATACAGTGAAAAATGAACTGTGGAGCCAGCCTACTTCCAGAGCAGCAAGTGTGCCCCTTGACACAGGGAACGCACACTCCTCACTGCCCTGGGAAGTAAACATTTTAAGGCCAGGAGGTCTACAGAAATGTCAGATCACACAAACTCGATCTGAAAATAAGACTAAAGCAGAAGCTTTCCATGGTACATCTAATCATCACTGGCCAGGTGCTTACCACAAGGACAAGCAAACCATAATACAAGCAGAAACTTTTTGGTATTTTTATGAGATAATATTTCATGTGTATTTGTGGATACATCCTCTGAGTTAAACTATTTCTTTCTTTCCATTAATGCTGATGGATTCTGGGTTATCTATATTTTCAATACTGGTGATGGAGCCCAGGCCCTCGGGCTGGTCAAGCATTCTGCTTTCTACTAGAAAGCTACACCGTTAGCCCTTCATTCATCCCATGGCAACGTACATGTGTCCAAAGCAGGGACCACAGTAACTGTCTTAACAAAACTGAACAGACTCAGCTTTCTGAAAGGTAGGCCAATTTAACAACACAGCTGCATTGCCTGATTTGTTACAAGAGCTGGCCAAAGTAAATGACTCCAGTCAGTCTGGTTTGGAAAGCTGCAGCAATCCCAAACTCCTAAAGTTCAAAAAACGACTGTAGGATTATACTTGGTTGCAGCTGTGCCCGGTGTAAGTTCAATACTAATAAACACTGAATCAATGCAAACACGTTTTAAAACAGTATCACTCATTGCTTTCATTCTTAAAAACCTGTAATTCGGACACACATTTTTAAAAGCATGATTAGGAACACGTCTGTACAGTAATGCTTAGATATTTTAGGCCCATCTGCAGTTTAAGGCTGCAAGCCTAGCTTTGGGCTCCGCTAAGGCTCGTGGGCTCTCACGGACTCCGCGTAGGCCAAGCCTATGGAAAGAGCAGAGGTTGGGTGAGCGGGACCGGAGTCTCTTCTCCTCCATCCCATCAGAGCTCTGTCTCGCCAGGAACCCTTGAACCTCTTCAAGAGGTTGGGACACCAAGGAGTTGTTGGGACAGTTAAAGGGGACAGTGTGGATCAAGCCAGCATCCAAGAATGGAAAGAGTCCCACAAACATTCTTTTATTTCAACTGTCTTCCCATAGGTGGTGGTAGACATACTGGTTTCAAATTTTCACAGTGATGACTGGAATAATAAATTTTACATCAAATTAAAGCTATCAACCTTATAACTCTTAAGACTAGAGACAGTCCTGCGGGAGAACAGTTCCCTTTACAAAACAGATACATTGACATTAGAGTTTATTTTAGCCCAGACCCCTCGCCCCCACTGCGTGTCTTCCCAGAGCTTGCCCAAGCACTCATGCCTGACGCAGGACGCATGATCTCTCCAATGCAGAGGAGCATCCAAACAAGAGCAGTCCATACGCAGATGCTTCTCTGGCTCATCTTAGCTTTCAGTTATTACTTACTGATCATGTCCTTTTATGCTAAGAAATTATAATAGTTATCTATTTGGATTTATTTTTCCTGACTGGATCTAGATTTTAATGGTGGCGTACTTGCCACTGTCAACTTTCCCTGAAACGTTTGCATCATATTCAGATATTCTCTTGAGACACTTTTAATTCTTGTGACTGTCTTAAAATCTGGCAGGTCTTAGAACACTACAGGTGATTTCCAGAACACTACTTTCATGCATTTCTTAACACTGCCTAAATGTTTTCAAAGGTCTGAGTTAAGATAGATAGAAAAGCACCCAGCCATTCATAGCAGGTGCTCAATATTACTTTAACTTAAATACCTCGTCCACATTCATCTTTAGCAAATGTGATTTCATTATCTGAAAAAATGCTAAAAAGAATCATTATATGTAAAGACCTAAATGTAAAGAGCAATTATTTATTTTCTTGACAATTTGTACAAATCAAACTTATGAAGATTATATTTAAGAAAACTAAGTTGAAAATAATTCTTCCCTTGCCAGGGCGCATAACCAATCTTTAATATCCAATTACAGAAATATTCCCTCTGCCCTTTTTACAAACAAGAAAAGAACTATTTGGCTACGAAGGCAGGCATATTCAACTCTTTCCTACTCATAAAATGTATCATCTTGACCACTAAATGACTAAGAGTTTGTTAAGAAGACTAACAATTTGGAGTGTCATAAATTTACATCTCTTTCTGTTATGACTTTCAAAGTAGAATTTATCTTCTATTGCAATCACATACACTAATCTTAATGCCTGGATTACACTGCTGTTATCAGGAAGTCGGAACAGATCCACACAGTTTCCACCTTGATGCTGACACCAAGACTCCAAGGAAACAAAGCCAGGTCACGGGACCCTTCCTACCCTGGTGCTGGGGGACCTTGAGGAACGTGTGTGGGCAGCAAGTATATTTTCACATATTTAACAAGTTGGTTTCAAGAAAAGATAGGTTAACTTTTTAGAAAACAACTGTTTTTAAGCAGGACAGATATTGCTTTTTTGTTTTGGGATTTTTTTTTTTTTTTTTTTTTTTTTTTTTGGGCAGGGAGGGGCTTCAAAAATCATAAACTCATTGCCAGGTCTACCTGGAGCTGATCTGCAGTAAAGCTGGTCCGAGCTCTTTTTGCTGGTTTTGGATGATTAACATCTTGTTCTGTGAGGAGGGCACCTTCCACACTAATTCCATTACCTGCATTTAAAAAACATACCATACATGTTGGTGACTCATCGGGTCTGCCACTTGCACAGTAAAAGCTTCCTTGCACTTCTGGGCTTGGGAAAATGTACGCATCCTCTAGAATGGGGACCTTATTTTTTACTCCCCCACCCACCCCGCTGTACTGAAGACTGAACCCAAGACCTCAGCACTGAGCTATATCCCTAGTCTTTTGAAAACTCTTTTTATTTTGAGACAGGGTCTCACTACCAGTCACTCCATGGTCCAGGCTGGACCTGAACTTGTGAATTTTCAATCCTCCTGCTTCATCTTCTGGGAGTGCTTCGGTTACAGACATGAGTTACCACACCCAAATTAAAGCCCACTAAGTTTTAATTCAACATGCCATAAATGCACTATCGAGACAGCATTTCATGTATAGGCTTGAGGATTTTCAAAAGCACGGGAAGAAGCGCACTGCGAAGGCCCACCCGTAGGAAGGCAAACACAGGGCAACAACTGTTTGCGGAACCCAGACGCTGCAGCCTCACCCAAGGCTGCTGCCTGAGAACAGCGCTAAAACACAGGCCGTAGTTGTCCCAGCGGATACAACAGATGGAGCTCATCACTGCCGTGGAGTGCCTGATGAATCTTACCACAATTATATTTTGCCTAAAATAATGCTTTAAGATGACCTTAGGGGGAAAAAAAATCATTTTTATCCTTCTATTCACTGTCCCCAAAGACTCAAAAATATTTTAAGTACATATTTACCATTTTCCACTTCTCTTTTTAAATTATCAAGCATGCAGTCATAATGCACTCTGCAGAGGACTTTCTCTTCCACCAGTGCAAACTCCTCTCCCGTGGAAAGTTGCCTTTTGCAAGAAAAGCAGGCGAAGCAAGCCAAGTGATAGACATTTCCTTTGGCCCTCCGGACCCAGTCAGTAGAGTGGATGTGTCTGCCGCAGCGAGAGCAGCGAGTCCCGTATCTTCTACAGTGAACAAAAGGGCAGGGGTGGAAGATTTGAACGCCTGGGAAGCTATGTATCAGTCTAATATCAAGCCGATGCATAATGTCACTGCACCGGAGTAGCCTAAGTGGTTCATGATCTTGAAAATGAAACAGGAATTACTTTTCTCTACGTCAGTATGCTAAGCAATTAAGACTGCAGAGTCATAATTCAAAATCCATTTTTTAAAATAAAACTTTTTAAATAAATAAGACACAAGTGCCAACAGCCTTCTTATTGTGTCAAATATCAGGGCATTTATAAATGTACCTGGAGGCTTAGGATACAAGTGTGTGCGTGCGCGCACACACACACTCCAGTGCAAAGCTGAAAAGTGCAAAAGGATTCTGATTTGATGTGACTAGTGACTTCTTAAGGCCCAGCTGAGAGACTGGAAGGTGCAGCTCGGTGGTGTGGTGTCTCTTTAGCATTCACAAGGCCTTGGGTTTGATTCCCAGGATCAAAAAACAAACCAACGAAACAAAAATCTCAAGTTGAAATGATTAGAAAATGCCACAAATTGATATTTAAAATAGATATCATCAAAGAATGCAGACAACTCACATTTTTCACCCCGGTAAGCCACAAAGGAAACCCAGAAATGGTTCCTTTCATGGGAAGTTATCCTATGGCCATTCCCAGGAGCAAAGGAATACTATGTAAGCCTTCCTGAGCCACACTGAGACATGAAACACAGGTTGAACGTAGCAGAAGGCCAGACCACACGTGCATGTCCCATCTGCCTCCCAGTCTGAGGGACAGCACTCACAGACTCATCTCCTGTGGCAGGCGCGGGCCAGCAGTCGGTTCACACGAAGGCCGGGCATGTGTCTCTGCCCATGCAGGCATACATCTTTAGAGGTGATGCCAATTTGTTTATTAATTATGCCAAAACACTGAATCTTAAAAATAAATTTCAGAATAAAATATGAAGTATTAAAAATCCTAAAGACCCAGATTTTCAAACTTGAATGTTAATTTATGCATTTGGTACAGGATCTCACTATGCAGCTTGGACTCATAGTGATTCTCCTGTTTTCAGCTTTCCCAGCACTGGGGTTACAGGCGTGGTCCCCAAGTCCAGACTTGGTGGTCGGCTCCTGGCACCCGTGGCATGTGGTGCTGGGGACTGAACCTGTACCCAGGTCCCTGTGATTGCCTAGGCAGGCACTTATCTCACAGGCTCTAAATTTTTGCTCTTGCTACTAGTACCTTGAACTTGACAGGCAGGCACTTACACTGCTGAGCTATCTCCCCAGCCTCAAACTTGTGTCTTCTAAAAGGTTTTAATTTATCATAAAAGATTAAGATTAGCATAGTTAATGTCACACTAGGGTTAAAGAAACAGAATAAACCCACTGAGAAATATATATCTGGGACAGTTACAAAACTGCAATTTTATAAAATAAAGGACTTTGGATATTATGAAGTGACTAAATTACCTAGAGATTTTTTATCTAAATTAACAACTAAGATCATTTTTTGAACTGGAATATAAACAACATAATTTGTACTACAAACTTCACTGTGCAGAATTAACACCACAATTCCATCTTGGACGTTTTTTCTTCATTTGAAAATCCAAGAAATAGAATAATTTTAAGTCATTCTTAGGGACAGTCGCAACTTCTAGACCACTATCCATAGTGAAGAAACTACATGTAAGCAAATGATAAAGAGATCGCAAAAAGAAAACTTGGTATCTTGAGCAAATAGAGTCTTAAAAAAACTAAATGGCAAAGAAGTGAGAAAAGAAACAGATTTGGGGGCAGACCAGTTTGACTTGGTGTACTTATATACGTGCAATGATCAATCACTCTGAATGTGGTTCACCCCAGTTTCCGGACCCCTTCCTTCTCACGGGAGCAAAACTAGGGATCATCCTACGGTAAAATGACAAAAGCTTAGCAGCATACTTTTCCCCCTGTAATCAATTTCTTTTCCTCTCTTATCTCTTCTCCCTGAAAAGGGACTCTGTGACAAACCATCCTGTGTTTCACACCTTACACACTGCAAAGAAGTTTCCCTGCTCTTAGTGCTTAAAACTTTCATCCCCTACAGTGGAAATACTATTTACAATTAAGTTTTGGATAGCAAGTTTCTAGAGGAGAGAGACACATTTAGTGTTTTTTTTTTTGTTTTTTTTTTTTTTTTTTTTTTTTTTTTTGGCGGAACCGGGGATTGAACTCAGACCCTTGTGCTTGCTAGGAAAGCGCTTATTCCACTGAGCCATCTCCCCGGCCCCATTTAGTGTGTTTTAATATAAAATAAGATAGATTTTGCAATCCTTCGTATGGGAAAAAACAGGGCTTACACTAAATGAAATTGGACCAAAGTGTACTACAAAATTCTTGTGTGAATATTTTTTTTGAAGTGCCTACTCTACTAAGAACAAGCTTCCCAGTGTACCTGAAATAATCGAGCTTGCAGAAAATGTCCTTGTCTTTAATGTAACAGCTGGTGTGCCTTCCTAGGGAGGTTCTGCAGACACTGCAGGAGAGGCAGCGGACATGCCAGCACAGGTCGTTCACCTGGGAAGGGAAGAGGGCAGCGTGAGAAGCCACTCCCATCTCATGAGGGCAGCCCCAGCCAACCGGAAAGCTGGCCTGGGAGATTCTGACACAGTCTGGTTGCTTTCCTCCAGTGTCACTTACATAAATATCCACCTGCAAACATTCACTCTTATAGTCCAGCCAAAAAAAAAAAAAAAAAAAATCACACACATCCTTTAAAAATTATGTCATTTATTTCTTAAATCAACCCTCTATGAACACAGGGAAAGTTCTGGTTACTTGAGAGTCCTACACAGAACTGTTTAGTTTTCTCCCGCCTCAAATTCTTCCCACCTTCTCAACCTACTTTTTAGCCAAATAACCACAGATTATACATTTGTTTAAAACAGCACTGAAGAAGTGGAAAACATCTTGGAAAGAAAGTCACCCCATGAAGCTGGCCAGTTTCTTTCCTTAGACCGGAAGTGGCAAGAGGGAGCTAACAGCCCTGCCTCTGTGAGCATCACCCAGCTCCACTGAAATAAAGCAGCCATGGAGTAAAGAGGGACAGCTACTGATTCGGAACCAGAGTAACTGGTTGTCAAAAGGCACCAGGCATATTTTGCATTTATTCTTGGAATAGTCAGACATAACACCAGGTTGGGGGGGGAAAGCACATGATGCTTCCTAAAGGCACAGGAAATCCCAACTGGGGGAAACAAGCCACAAGCGCTCCACTTTGAATGTTGCCATCCTACGCTAAGCACAATTGAGGCTTTCAAGAATGAAGGGATGGATTGGCTTGAGTTGGCCTGCTACACCAACTCCCAAAGTGTGCTCTGCTTAAACAGACAGAAGAACTAGGTTTATGCTTAGTTGTCATGCAGAAGTACAGCAATGGTGTAAAATCACCAGTTACACCCTGCTCGTGGCTCCCATGACAAAACTAGAAAAGTGAGCTACTGTGAGATTTGGCTTTTGGAACACTAGTTAATAATAAAAGAACCTGTCCAGTGACACTGTCAGACTCTAACTACTGTTCAGCATGTTTATCTGTAATGTGAATCACATACAGAACTTTAAAGCTGAAAGACCGAAGTTTTACTGGCTTCTAATTACAGTGAATGCATCAATTTCCAAAGCAATTTTTTTTTTTTTTGGTTTTCAAGTATCTTTTTTGATGAAATTTTAAGTTTTAGTCTTTCTTTAAAAGAACTACATACTCACTATAAAAAAAAAAAAAACCACTGCAAATAACAGAAATAGTAAAAAGCCCAAGGAAGCCAGAAGAAAACACATTAACAGTGGTGAATACTATCCTAGAAATAAAGATATAATCTTCCTTAGTCTTTTCTCTAAAATACCCTCAATTAGGAAAAGTTTAAAAGTATAAGCTTTAATATTCCACAGCTTAAGGCCATGCATATTTCAATCACGTCCAAGTTTTTTGTTTTGTTTTGCTTTGTAAAGGAAGGCTTTAGGGCAAAGCCATGGCCTGGCTACAAAAACCAAACCAAATGCCCCGTCTACCACCCTTCTTCAAAGTTTACTTTCAAAAAACAAACAACAGCAACACAACAAACACTCCTACATCTTCCATCTCTTTTTTAGGGAGGAAAGTACTGTGAAGAGAGAAGATTCTGGAAACTACAAGCCTTCCTTGTTGGATAGTGATAATCCAATGAGTAAGTGCCTAAACATAGAACTAGGACCTGAACAGAAAAATTACCCAAGGGCCACTGGAGCAGAAAAACGCGAGGAGATCCTTTCTCCTCTGGTAACCTCCAAGGTACCCCCCTCCCACTCACCCCACCAGCCCTTTTGTTAGTTACACCTATATCTAAGATAGGTCTGTTGTTACCAGTGACAAGTTTGAATTCAAACTCACCTGGAGAAATACTCAAAGTGAGGAGAAAAATATTAAAAGCTCATACTTTAAAAATAATCCTATACTATCAGAACATAGAGCTAATAGGCTAAAGCAAACAAGAACCTGGTAGAGCAGACTGCAACAATACCTCTCTAGGCAGACTATTGCATACTTCGAAAACAGCCTTATAGAACTCTCTTAGCTATTTTATAAACTACCAAGATAGGCAATGTTCAAATTTAGGCAAAAATGAACACCACAAAGTATATATATTTCTGAGGTTGTATTACTACTTTACTATAAGCTTTTTATCTAGGTCTTCTCTACTGTGAAGTGTTAAAAGCCTTCATCGATCCATTTCAGAAACATTAAGATCCTGCTAATTATTGAAAAAAAAAACCTCACTGAAAATAAGAACTTAGTTTTAATCCAAAAGATGACTGTGAAATTCCAAAAAATGTCAGGTTTAGCCACAAAGAAAACAGAATCCTAAGAATCTGTACTTTAAAAAAAAACCTATGTTGATGTCCAACTTTAAAAATCAACTACCCAGTAAGATTCAGTCGTTTTTAAATGTTCTTGTCAAAACCCCTCTAGCTGCTGTATCTGGGTAATTCACATTTTTACAGACAAAGCAATTTGTTGACTAGAAACTTTAAACCCACTAATTCACTTTTTGAATTTAGGCACTCGGTAATTAATCCTTCTGAAAATCTAAGGGGGTGGGAAGAGAAAGTGAACTGGTTTGCAACTACTTTGGTATAGGAAAAGTCATTATTTTACACAGTGGTTTCTGAAAACCATTGAAGTTGAAAAGCCAGCGTATTACCATTAAGACACCAGGGACCGTGAGCCTGCGTGCTATGACTCAGGTAACTGGCCTGCCAGAACATCTACTCCACAATTTCCCCACAATATTTTAAGAGAAAACTAATACAAATTAATACAGACAGTCAACTCTCAAACCACCACTTGAAACACTTCATTTAAGGCGTGTGTGTGTGTCTAACTTTGCATCAATTTCTACTTTTTTCCTAAGCGCTGGAAAGGACTTAAGAGCACTGGATGGGCCTGAAGCAGTGAACCCTAAATAAGAAGGCATTGAAACAGCATTTAAGTAAATGTTTCTATGAACTTTTACTTTGGAAAACCTTCGCGGTATCTGAAAATAAAATTAAGTGTAAAACTCGTCTCGGAAAGGACCTCTGAAGGCAGTTCAGAGTGACTCTCACAGCCCGGACGCTGCAGAGATCAGTTTAAGGCACTTCGACCTGGAACTCCTCTAAGGTCGGGGGACAGGGTGGGGAGACGACTGGGGAGCGAGCCCAGCCCGAGCCAAGACTTAGGTGTGGCTAAGGGCTGGCCCCGTCCCTTCTACCTTCGGTGGCGACGCCAGTGCGTCCACCCGGGCAATCACTTCGACCCCAGCACGTGTCACTCGGACTGTGTGGCCACAACCAACCCCTGAGCGCGCGAGGCCAGCTGCTCCCCGGACACCGCGGGTGGAGGAGGGCCCGGCTTCTCTCTCCCGCCCCGGCCGCCCCTACCTTGAGCAGGTACTTGTCCACGATCTCCAGGCCGCAGCTGCTGCACACGCACTTGCCGGGCGGACAGCCGGAGCCCGAGGCCATGGACCGCGGCGAGGACGACGGGGACAGCGGGGCCGAGGAGGAGCTCGAGTCCTCGTCCCCCGCTCCCTCGGGGCTCACCTGCGGGAAGCGAGCGCGCGGGGGCGGCTCTAGACCCCTCCTCCCTCCGCCCAGCTCCCACGGGCGCCCCCTCCCGCCCCTCCCCCGCCCTGCCCCGCCCCCGCCCCAAGTCCAAGCTCGGGCCGCGCGCCGACCCCTGACCTCCCCGGAGCGGAGCCCCCGGCGGCTCCGCAGGGCGGCCGCGCCGCCTCCGCACTCACCAGTCCTTCGTCCCCGGCGCCCTTCCGAGTCCTCCCGGCCGCCAGGGCTGCGGTGCGCCCGCACTCCTCCGACATGAGCCTCCGGCTCTGCGCGGGAGGAAGCGAGACGAGAAGTGGCGCGGGGCTGCGGGGTCTCGGGCGGGCGCTTGGGCTCGGGCTCGGGCGGACGACGCCCCCACGGAAACCCCGCGGCTAAGCACCCTCGCCCCGCACAAAGCGCGCTCGTTCCGCGTCAATCACGGCGAGCGTGGACACCGGGCGCCGGGCGCGGGCGGGGAGAAGAAAAACCCGCGGGGAGGGCGGGGGAGGAAGCCCGAGTTCGCTAATCACGCCAATTAAAAGAGCAAGACACATATATTTTTAAAGGGGGGGCTTTTTGAATAGGATAACCCGAAAGGTGAAGAGGTTTAATAGGATACTTGAAAGCTAATTACAGCGGGATTTAAGAAGCCTGGTGTTTGTTCCTAGGACGATTTGAATGAAAATGCTTCAGATTAAACCAAGCCAGAGGCTCTTTCTCTTTGGTAAACTTGCGGCAATTAGAGCCGTGAGTGATTTGCACTCGTTTCTTTAAGGTGTAAATTGCCACTTATGGCTCAGTAAGTCAACATTTGAGCTACTAAAGGATTATTTTTAACCAGCGCAAAAAGCGGGTCGAATAATGGAAAATATCCAGCTGAATTTAATTTGTGCCATTAGGAAAAAAGAAAAAAAAAAAAAAAACCACCCTCATCCAACCACGGTCAGAATGTTTTAAAGCAACAACACATATTACTCAAGTGTTTGCAAGCTTTTCACTGGAGTTTTGTTCCTAAAGGAAACCAGAGCCTCCACGGGCTTTTTCTGCCCTGGTTTAGGAAATCTCTAGCTTGGGGTCGGGTGGATCCCCGAATTGCAGTGGCAGCCGAAGCTCTGTGTCTCTGGCTCCTCGCTCCCCCTAGTCTTGCTCCGGAAGGCGCCCGGTGAGGGTCCCTCTGGGAAGCGCGCAGAGCCCGGGCAGAAAAGCCCAGCGATCGCCGGGCGCCGGCAGAGGCGAAGCCTGGGGCGCCAGGCGCGCTTCCCGCGGGGCCTCCAGACGGGGCCGGCGATTTCCAGGTTTTACTCGTGACATGCCCGCGGGCCTCGTCTCGGGAGGGAGGTGCGAACCCTTCCGGTCCCAGCTACTCAGACCCACCTTTGGACTCCTTTGGCGCCCTGGGTTTGCTTCCTTTGTTATTTTAAATAAAATGGTTCTTCGCGCCCGCCCCGGCATACCCCCGGGTCCGCCGTGGGTCCGCGGCGCGCGGGTCGCCGGCGTCCGGAGTCGTCGCGTCTCGGCGCGCAGGAGCTCGCGGGTGCCGGGTCCCCCCGCCAGCCGCCCGGTCCCCGAGTCCCGCTGCCCCCGACCGCCAGGCTCGCCACCGCCACCGGCAAATAGAACAAAAGCACGACTCACATGGACCCGAGAGCGCCTTAGGCTCGAGGCTCCGTCTCCCAAATTACAGTCTCCATGCCTCAGGTTAAGTGAGCTCGTGCGGAGGGGGGGGCAGTGATTACTGACAAACGCTACTACGTAATAGAAAAAAATCGCCGGGTCTGAGGACGAGGTCTTTACAGGTAGTTTCTGAGCCGCGTCTAGGAGCCCAGAGACCTCGCGATTCGAGGAAAACTGCGGTTCAACTGATCTGGCCAGGCATCGGCTCGCTCACCTTCTCGTGGGGGACGGCCAGCCCCGGCACGTCCTTCTCTTCTAGTTTACACACAAACATCGGGTCGCTCTTCCAATACATGGCCCTGCTGGGGCTGCTTTTCACATTCCAGCTCCGGCGGGGCGCAGGCTGTCGCGGTCTGTGGATTGTCCCCCTTCTCCCCCCAAAGCGCCTGATAAAAACTAAGACAGGACAGCCACAAGCCAGTCTCGGTCCAGAGAGGCCGCGGTAGCCGTTACCACCCTCTGACCGTCTGTTCTTAAGATTCTTTTCCCTACTTCCTTGAGGTCTGTCCCTCCAGGAAAAGGGGGGAAAAAGTTTTGCTTTCCAGAGGGTGGAACCTTCCACGGAGGGAGGGGTGTGTGAGCAAAGTTTTCCTGCAGGAATAGCCTCACCTCCTTAAGGGAAACCCGCCTTCCCTACAAGTTAAGATCTTTATCAGTGCAAGCCAATTTACTCCAGGTTCGATATTAAAGCAGGAAAAGAAAAGAATCCTGGGATGGCCTGTTAACTTGATTTAAAAAAAAAAAAAAAAAAAAATCTGCTCTCCGCATTTGCCTTGGCTTTTAAATTCTCGCTCCCCAACCAAAACCTAAACAAAGATTCAGGTTACATTTCTTTTAGCAGAGAGCGGGAAGGGAGCTGGAGGTCTCCGGCGGCACTTGCACGGTTGAGCCCTTCTCCTGAGTCACGCATCCCTCCAAACAGTGGAGAAGCACGGGCGCTTGTGGGCCGCCCTGGGGGCTGACTTGTCTAGCGGCTCGCTTTCCTTTTGTGAAAAGTTTTCCTCAGAGAAAGGAGGCGGCTGGGAGTTTAATTCAGTGACCCAGTGCCTGCCTGGCAAGCGTGAGGTCCTGAGTTCAATTTCAGGTACCCAGCAGAAGGGGGGGGGGGGAGAGAGAATATCTGAGCAGCGCAAAAGCATATGATTTTCGGCTAGATTTGAAATGAAGTCTACAAGAATGGCAAGCGTATGTTGCTGATGAGTATTATTCTTTTCATCTCGTCCTAGATAAAATTTAAGTCCTGGAAGCTGCAGCTGCTGCCTCAAACTCTGGCACGCATGGGGATGGGGTATACAGACACCGTAATTTTGATTAGGATTGGGGATGTGTCTGTTTAAACAGCTCTTTTCTGGTATAGCGTTTACTTCATTATTTGGTGTATGAAGACGAATTTGGTAAGAGAAGAATTTTAAGTCACTTTTCCAATGTGCCCCTTGTAAGAAATAACAATGTTTTGAAAAATGAGAATATCTGGAATTCTCTAACAAAAACGTGTAATAGCGTTTCCAATAGACAAAAGTCTGTATTTTAAACACATCTGCACACGTATAGATTATTCCTTTGTTCCACTTGTCTAAAAAAAAAAAAAAAAAAAAATCGATCCTATCCAGGCCAGCCTGCAGCAGGCTAGCAGACAGGCAGGTTCGCCAGGGGACAGACACTTTCCTGCCATGAAAAGAGGCTGTGTAACAGTCTGGAGCAAGACAAGACCAAAAATTTGTTTTCCCTCAATCCTATTTCTGTGCCATGAACAGGATCCTTTTCTTCTTGGCATTGTTTTCCTTTCCGAGCTGCTGAGCGCAAGTCAGCGTTAGCCGTGCAGATCTGGCCCTGCATGGGACATCGCAAGTGAGAGTAGAGACGCTATGCCTAACCTGGGTCCTCCTGGAGAACTGAGGACTCGGGCTGGGTCGACTTTCCGCAGAGCTAACTTGGGCGCGAGGGCCAAAAATATTTGTGTTTTTCATCAAGGGCAGAAATCAGTACGGGGGATGGATCCATACGATGCGTTTTCCGGGAAGCAGCGTTGTTCTCGGAATGGCTATTCTGAATGGAAAATATCTCGTAGAACGTTGACGCCATTGCGCCGTGTATACAGCAGGATTCTGTTGAAAGTGAAATTTAAAATAGTGGTCCCATTTGGAGATTTAATTACAGTTTGTGTGAAGTTTTGTAAAGTGAATGTGGAGTGCTATTTCAATGATACCGACAATGATTTGCCCGGGTCATTTGGAGACGCCGAGAGCGTTAGAGCTGTTTGGGGAAGTAGGGTGGGGGCGCTGGCGTTTTCTGCGGTCTTTCCACCCACCCTCGCCTAATCAGGGGGCTCTCAATCGGGTTTTCAAAATACTAATCTTGATCTAAGAGCTCCTGTCTCTGCATAAGTGGTGGAAATGATTCATTTTTAGAGGCTTCTGGGTTTCGGGAAAAAGGACGGTTCTCAGAAACAAGCAGAAGACTAGCAGAGAGGCCTGGGGTCTGCTGCTTCCCGGGCGGCGCAGCGCTCTGCGCGGACCTGGCGGCTTCCTCGGCGCAATTGTGCGCACCCAACCTGCTCCGTAGGCCTCCGGGTGGTGAGTCTATGTCTGAATGTCGGGCGGTGTGACGCTTTGGCTGGGGCTCTTTTGTGGAGGTGGGCAGAGGGGCATGGCCAGATGCTTGTCACGGCTGGGCATCCGGCCGTCTCGGGCCCAAGGACCTCCCGATCCATTGGCAGCGAGGAGATTGAGGAGATACAGCGGCCCGCGTGGTGACCGCGCTGCTTCGCACCTCCAACCTATGTGCTTCTGGGCTCCGACCCAGAAAAAGTTTGCCCGCTATTCTGCAGAGTACCCCTTTTCCCGCTCTTGGGTCCTTGGGCTAAAAATCAGAAGGGTTTCCCTTCCCCCCCCAAAAAAAAAATTGAGGGATTTTTTAGCCTGAACTCCAATAGAGATCCATTTTCAACGGAGGAAGACGCCCCCCAAACATCACCTTGTGCGTCTGAAGGTGGAGCGACTGCCCGCAGGATGTGGTTGCCTACCTACTAAATTGAAATGGCGAGATGCCCACCTCTTCACAATTGAAAATCAGAGGCCAAAGGCCACCCAGGGGGATTGCGAACACCCCTGGACCACAGAGAGGTCTTTCCGACAAAGGGGCGGGATGGGAGAGAGCCAGGGAGATGTCAAGGGGGTCCTGTCCAGGGCTGGGCGCTCCGGGCCGACCAGGACGTCAGGAGTCGGGTCCCTAAAACTCGACGGTCAGGCAAGGGGTCTGGATCCTGGGGAGCCAGGCCGTGATTGGAGGTCCGGGCCGGAAAGAGGGGGCACCAATCCACCCCGACCCTGCGGCTCCCACTCACCGCGAAGAGCTGCCTAATTGGGCAGCGAGCAGCTGCGAAATTTGTAATCATCTAATAAGGCTTCCACCTCGATAATTCTTATCAAAAGGCATAAAACTGATATTTTCACACTCGGCTCGCACTGCAGGTGCCGTTTATAAACATCCTTCATCAGTGGGATGAAATTAAGCCTGCATTGACAGAGGTCCCTGGAACTCGATATTTAAAAGCAATAGATCCGAATTAGCAAATTATTACTTGAAATAGAGAAAGTCCCCGCCAACTTCACGATTGAGCCCTTTGCCTGAGCTCCTCGCAGTGAGTAACCGTACGTCTGCAGGCAGGAACTTAACCTAAAGATTGCGAGGCTTTAACTCGAGTAGGCTCGCAGCTCACCCGAGCGAGCAAGCGAGCTAGTGAGCGCCCTGAACTCGCCGCGGCCAGAGTGGTGGAGACCGCGCGAAGGCGCAGCTGCGGCCGGGCCGGAGGAGATGGGTTACACTGCGCTCTACATCCAGGATTCCGGGATCCACAGTTGCAGACCGGCACTTGCGCGGCCCAGCCCGGCCCTCTCACGGACCTGGGACCCAGGACTGTCAGAGGCGAGTGTTGCCGCAGACCCGCGCCTGCGGAAGGAGCAGCTGTGGGTGCTGCTGGGGCGACTCCTTGGAGCCCCAGATATTTCCTGCAAGACCGCTCGGAAACGGCGGAAGTCAAGCGATGTACTTGGACTTTGCCCAGCCCAGCTTTTATTAATATCAGTGTGGGAAGCAACCGAAAGAGATAACTTCTGGAGGTTGTTCCCGCAAACTTGTGTTGCTCAGACATGCGTGTTGGAGGTGGTGGAGCTGGAATCTTCCCCTTTGGGACCTCCTCACCCACAGTTTCCCCCTGAGAAGGGCAGTCACGTTTCTGAAGCTCGGTGGGCTTTGCGCTCTCCGCGTGCTCAATGCTGGACACTGGGGACACAGCGCTCAGACCCGGTCCCCTCCGCTTGCCCCAGCGGGAGCGCCCCTCTTTGCAAGTCAAGTCCAAAGAGCACCTAGATCCAGCTGTCCCAGGGTTCTGGAGCCGCAACCTGGAAGCCAGGTTCCACGCGGAGAGCTCGGCTGTGCCCACGAGCCTGGAAAAGAACTCAGTCAACTCCCGGGCGAGGAGCCGCGATTTCCGCCTAATAGGGGAAATCAGGAGGGAAATAAATTTAGGAGCCACGTGGCGTCTGAGATTAGAAGAGGGGGCGGCTTGGTACACTCCCGTGCTAAATACAGCTGCGCGGAACGCCAAAGTACTTGGGACCATTTACTCCTTGTGACATTTCCAAGCCTGAAATCTCGCTTTACGCACGTCCGTGGTTTGGAGCTGCAGGTTTTAAGTGCATTTTGCCTTCTACAATGAGCAACAAGCCAGAAGCAGTGGAAATTTGATTCTATCGTTTCTCCTTCAGAGCTCTGTTCCCACAACACTGCAAAAACCAAAGTAATGTAGAAGGTGAAAAGGGATAAACGTTTCAGCTTCAACAACCGCTTAGTCCCGATTTTCCCTACCAGTTCTAAGCACACCCATTCGAGCTACACACTCCCTTGTGCTCACTCCTCTAGGAGGAAGGAAACCTTGTCAATCCCCCGGTTCTCGCTCCCCAGTCTCCACCCTCCACTGTCCTGGTCTTAAATCCCCCTCCAAAGCCAAATTAAAGTCAATTAAACTTGATTCAAGTGCAAAAGCCGAGCGCTAGGCGGGTTTCTGGGTTGGGCCACAGTGCAGGCGACCTCTGTAGCCTTGCTAACTTTTGGATAAGGGGCCAGCGACAGCGTAGGCCAACAACTCATCAGCCAGAGGGAGGGAGCCCAGGTAAACTCAGCCAGAATGGTCTCACCTACACTTTTGGTGCCTACGGATCATGCAGGCAAAACTCCCAGTCTTCTTGCTGGTCTGATGCATCTTGTAAAACAATACTTTTTACCACCAAAACAAAACAAGTCTGCGGTAAAATCTTAAGCTACTATTTTTTAAAGTTAAAAATCTTTTTATATGGGTTTCTGGCCCAGGAGACTGCTTCTTGTAACTATGGCTGTGATTTTCTTCC